AAATTTCCAAACATCAAATCTCCCAAATCTCCAGTTCTCCAAGTCCTCTTTCCAAGAAAACAAATTTCCCCCTCATCCAATTTCCCTCCTCAACAAAACACCTTCACAAGTTTCACCTTAACCCCGCAATTTTATCACATTAGCATAATTAAATCGCTCTCCGATACAACCTAATTACGCCGATACCGTACAGAAATTTCGTAAACCTCTTCCCTAATTTTTTCTTCGCATTTTCAGAAATGTTCTATTTATTTTCGCGTGGCTCTCGAGAAATTAGGTCGATCAAATTCGTGACGCATCGAGCATCGTTCGAGCAAAAAAGCGCATTCGTTTTTCGATCGATCGGATCCCTTGCGGTGTTATTTTAGAATTCTCGTGTAAAGGCCTTCATTATTGCAACCACGTAGACCCAACCCGGGGACAGAAAACGTTTAATGCTCGAACGACGAGGAGATTTTACAATGTTAAAGCGACAACGTTGTGTATCGCGTGCAGAACACCAGTGTTTCACCGGTGGACGCATAAATTAATGTTATCTTGACCAGCTATTATACAGGGTGTTGCAGAAATTGCTGATCAAACGTGAGCTTACAACGTTTCTTTCGATTTCATCAACGATTTTGCATATTTCTGGCATGGAACAGGACCGGACGTTCGTTATTTTGCTCACATTTTTATTTTTCGCGAAACCATTATTAGGAAATTTATTGGTGAAAATGTGTAGACGTGGTTATTATCAAAGAGTAGGGATACAAGAGTCGACACTAGACAAGGAAACCTAACTCGTAGGGAGAGGACACAACGAACTTAAATGTGCAAATCAAAAGAATCGGGGGTGCATGTGCAGAGTGTAGAAGTATGGCGGTCGAAAAAGAATAGTTTAAACCTGCACATTCACCAGTAATTTATTTCTAATAAATATTTTGTCGTATCTCTGTAACACATTCATCTGTAATTTCTTGTGATATATAGTTTTTCAGTTTCTTACAAGTTATTTGTAATAATCATTTCCGTAATACATATTCTTCAAATATATTTTGTAGAGCAATCATTTTGGTATATTCTTTTCTTTTCAACTTTTCAACGCCGTAAAATTGATAAAAATACCTCAAAAGACAATATTAGTAATATACAGAAAATTTATTACAAATATATTCCAAATTATTTTTTCTTCGCATTTTCAGAAATGTTCTATTTATTTTCGCGTGGCTCTCGAGAAATTAGGTCGATCAAATTCGTGACGCATCGAGCATCGTTCGAGCAAAAAAGCGCATTCGTTTTTCGATCGATCGGATCCCTTGCGGTGTTATTTTAGAATTCTCGTGTAAAGGCCTTCATTATTGCAACCACGTAGACCCAACCCGGGGACAGAAAACGTTTAATGCTCGAACGACGAGGAGATTTTACAATGTTAAAGCGACAACGTTGTGTATCGCGTGCAGAACACCAGTGTTTCACCGGTGGACGCATAAATTAATGTTATCTTGACCAGCTATTATACAGGGTGTTGCAGAAATTGCTGATCAAACGTGAGCTTACAACGTTTCTTTCGATTTCATCAACGATTTTGCATATTTCTGGCATGGAACAGGACCGGACGTTCGTTATTTTGCTCACATTTTTATTTTTCGCGAAACCATTATTAGGAAATTTATTGGTGAAAATGTGTAGACGTGGTTATTATCAAAGAGTAGGGATACAAGAGTCGACACTAGACAAGGAAACCTAACTCGTAGGGAGAGGACACAACGAACTTAAATGTGCAAATCAAAAGAATCGGGGGTGCATGTGCAGAGTGTAGAAGTATGGCGGTCGAAAAAGAATAGTTTAAACCTGCACATTCACCAGTAATTTATTTCTAATAAATATTTTGTCGTATCTCTGTAACACATTCATCTGTAATTTCTTGTGATATATAGTTTTTCAGTTTCTTACAAGTTATTTGTAATAATCATTTCCGTAATACATATTCTTCAAATATATTTTGTAGAGCAATCATTTTGGTATATTCTTTTCTTTTCAACTTTTCAACGCCGTAAAATTGATAAAATACCTCGAAAGACAATATTAGTAATGTACAGAAAATTTATTACAAATATATACTAAATTATTAGAGGTTGACATGAAAGTAGATTTGTTCGATTTAAATTTCCCGCTCGTTTGTACGACCAATTTAAAGGGACAGCGTTTTCGAAAAATCAAAGATGTCGATAGAGAGTGCGATTAGGTTAGGTTAGGTTGTCATGTTAGGTTGTCAAACTACTGTCACGTGACCATGCGAGGCATTCATATTCACTTTTTTTTTCAACTTATGTATCACTTCATTCTGTATATGTATTGTTAAGAAAATTTTAATAAGTTTCATTGATTTACTAATGAATTCACAACAAGTTAATATTATTGCACATAAATTTGACATGACCTAACGTTTCCAATTCGTACGTGCACAAAATCAGAAAACTAATTTCATATTACTGCAAAGTTTAAAAAACAAATTCGTTATTATATTTCAATTTAGATTCTGATGGAAAAGTTATGGAACAATATTTACGTTCTGACGAAGTTGGAAATGATCATTTTCTGGCTTTCATGCAAAGTTACGTTAACTGAGTTAAAGTTATCTCAACTTATGATATTGAAAATGTTTATGGAACGTTTATACCATCATTTAGGGGAAAGCTTAACCTTCCATTACACTCTGTTGCAAATGTACTGCTTACGAAGTAATATACATACTAAGTTTTTGTATTTCGTCAGACTGTGGACGTAAACATAAACAACTTTTGTAATTAGTCGAATTATGGAACAAGTTTCTTTCATATTCACAAAATCATGTACTAACTTTCTATGAACTAGTTGTTTGTTGTACTTTAGTAGACTCTTCTTATATTGCAATTCTACAATTTGCAAACGTCAATAACAGTGATAGATCGTGAATAGTGTTAAGTGGAATACATATTACAGCGAGAGAACAGTTTCTAGCAAAATAACTAGCAATATAACTAGCAATATAAATCTTACAATTTCATTAAGTCGTTGCATATCAAATGATCAATTTTGAAGCTCAAAAACGTGTCACAAAACAGTGTCCACGTTAAGCTGCATATTTTAAATATCGACGTTATTATATCGAGTGAACAATTTGTACTCGAAAAAGTATTAATGCATTTTATCTGCAATTTAGTAACTTTCCCTCCAGAGAAACCGAAGATTTCGATATTCATTGTTTGCAATTAACTACGACGTTTCGAAATTAATCAATTAGCGATTAGAACGTGTTAGGTCGTGGAATGCCTATTACAGCGAGATTAGACATCACAAGTTTCTAATGATACTTTCGTTCCTTTATTTGTAGTTTCGAATCAATTACCCGTAGCAGCAATACAGGAGTCACATTCTAGGGAGTATTTCTGGTTTTTTAATCACATCTGTGAACCCTTAACCTTAGCAGTAGAGTCTTTCGTTCGCAGTTTTCTATTCATGTCGAGGTATTGCGTTTTATTACTTCAGGTCACTTTGGGGAAAAGACTTCATACGTCACTCGCATACATCACCCGAATTCTAGCTGAACCAATAGAAAATTAGAAACTGTTTTCCCTCAGCAATGTCACAATACGCTCACTTCAAGATTTTGTGAAACGTAAAAATTCTTCGAAGACACTTTCGAGTACATAGCAAAATCTAGTCGTTCGAAGTGAAAAGATACAGTGCACTTATGTTCACTTATTGGGAAAGGACTTGGATAATCGTCACTTACTGACGCGATAAACAGTTAGACTCACGATTACTTCTAGAGGATGAAAACTATTCAGTTTATAGGTAATAAGAATTACAATACTAGTTGCAATGTGGTAATTATGATTATGGCTACTATCAGTACTATACAGAATAAACGATTACAGCTTCCAAACGATGAAAAACTGTTCAGTTTAATGGGACGTATTCACTCTTGATGCGATGAAGTTTTGTAATTATGAAGGCTAACTGTAGATTCCGTATAAAATAAACGATTGTAACTTTTAAACGAAAAATTAGTAAACGATTGCAACTTTTAAACGAAAAATTAGTTTAGAAGTAATGGTACAGTTATCAACAGTTGCTGATGCATAATTGGCTATGGTTAGTGATCGACTTCATACAAAATAAACTATTGCAACTTCTAAACAACGAGAAGTTATAGTTCAGTTAGTAAGTAACAGAACTTGTCTAGCTTTGATGCAACGGTTAATTGTGATTGTGGCTACTGGTTAATGTAGACTCCATATTGTGTCAAATACATAGCAAAATCAAGTTCGAAGTGAAATTTAGATACAGTCCACTTATATTCACTTGTTGAGTATCCTAACGATCCCACGTCGTTTAATCGTCACATACAGAACGAATCAGAAAATGTTTCGTTTTTCAATCGGTAGACAACCAAAACGAGTAAATACTCGCATTTGAAATATGGTACCCTCTGGACATTACGGTTACACTTGCATACTAAATTCCCATACTAATATGCTAACTAATATCGTTTGACCGTGACTCGGTACAGCTCATAGAAATTCCTCGTTTCAAATTCAGGGAACCAAATTTGCAGGAAGAATAGGATTCGCAGGCATTCTGAAAATCAGCCGAAGCACACTCGATCGAGAGAGAATTCGATTGAAAGTTCCTGTTCCAGCAAGTTTTCTCATCTGTTTCCGCAAGAAAATCTCGACACTTTGTCGAGCCGTTCACCAATTGATGGAAAAATCTCTCGAATCGTAAAAGGGAATCGGTATATTCGAGAAGAATCCTCCACACCGATTTTATTTCCTTTCTTTTTCCTGTGTTTCCTTCCTTTCGTTCCACGTATAAATGCGTATATGGAAAATAGCGTAGCGGCTTTCACCGAAGAATATCTAGGACAGTTTCCGTCGTTTCGTTAAAAACGCGCGAAACAATTTTTTTGTTTTCGCTGAAAAGAATTCGATACGGTGAAATATCACCGGCAATTTCATCGACTAATCACTCACCGATGCTGTTTTCCCATTTTTGCTTGTGACTTTCAGCAGGGACCCCTCGTAACCCTGAAACAAAAAATTGTATACGTTAGTCGGATGAAGAGTACGTGGATGAATTGCGTGATAGATGGTCATCGAATGTGTACACAGAATTGCGGTTGCGGTCAATTTTTGGATTTGGGGCAAACTTGTCAATTTTCTGAAATTTGAAACTTTCAAATGAGTCGACTACACTGTAGAGATATGAGTTTCAAATGGGTAGATTTTTTGATTATGGATTTATACGTGAATTTATAGATCGTTTAATGATAGTCAAGATTTCTTTTGTACAATTATGAAATTTTCAAATTCTTCAATTTCTTATATGCTGATATTCTTCGAAAACTTTAAAATCTTCAAAATCTGTAAAATTCCAAGTAATCAAATTCCTAGGTTCCTAAGTTTCCAAGATATTAAATTTCTGTATTTGCAAATTCATAATTTTCCCAATTCCTAAACTTCCAAATTCAAAAATTCCCAAATTTTCAAGCTAACAAATTTCTAGTTTTCACAATTCCTAAATTTTCAAATTTCTAAATTTTCGATGTAGTCAGTTTCCAAATCCCTAAATATCCAAATTTCTAAATTTATGAATTAGTGAATTACCGAATCCCTAAATTCCCAAAGTTCTAAATTTCCAAATTAGTGAATTTCCAAATTCCTAAATATCCAAATTTCTAAATTTTCAAATTAGTGAATTTCCAAATCCCTAAATTCTCAAATTACCAAATTTCCGAATTACTGAATTTCCAAATCCTTTCATCCTCAAATAACCAGATCTCACAATATTCCAAAATCTCAAATTTCAAAATTTCAAAATTCCAAAATTCCCAAATTTCTAAATTTCCAAATTTCTAGATTTTCCCATTCCTAAATTTTCAAATTTCTAAATTTCGAATTAGTAAATTTCCAAATCCCTAAATATCCAAATTTCTAAATTTTCAAATTAGTGAATTTCCAAATTCTAAAATTCCCAAATTTCCAAGCTAACAAATTTCTAAATTTCCAAATTTCTAGATTTCCTAATTAGTGAATTTCCAAATCCCTAAATTCCAAAATTTCTAAATTTTCAAATTCCAAAATTCCCAAATTTCCAAGCTAACAAAATTTCTAAATTTCCAAATTTTTAAATTTCCCAATTCGTAAATTTTCAAATTTCTAAATTTCCGAATTAGTAAATTTCCCAAATCCCTAAATATCCAAATTTCTAAATTTCCAAATTAGTGAATTTCCAAATCTCTCAATTCGCAAATTTCTAAATTTTCAAATTAGTAAATTTCCAAATCCCTAAATCTCCAAATTTTCAAATTCTACAAACTGTGAACGAAAAAAAGTCCCAACTGACTAAATTTCCAAATCTTTTCACCCCCAAATACCCAAATCCCCAAAATTCAATATTTTCCAATCATCAAACCCCCAAACATCAAATTTAAAAATTCTAAAAAATTGTTTCCACCCTTTCAAATAACTACTCCCTTAAAACAAAATAAACACACCCTAATTGAATAAAGAATTCACCCTCAAATGAATAAACATAATTTTCAAACACCGATATTAATTTAATTAAATCAATTAAGCATCCATTCGACATTTTTCTCTATAAATCACCCGCACTTTTAATCCCGAAATAAAAATGTCCACGAAACTCGCTACAATACAAACTTATCTCAGGTTAATTCAACTGAAGTTTATTGTACCGTGTTTGAAATTCCACGCGATTTTTCACCACTAATTCCTGGCGTTAATGAAGTTATGAATTTATAAGCAGACGGTATTCACGATCTTCCAAGTGTTAAGAATAAACTGAAGTTATGAAACAGTATCTTGGAGATTTACATATCTCTTGTGCAATTACCCATGGTGGTACAGATAAAATGTTCTTGTCGACTGCAATGCTTTTAAATACGACTTTAAAATGCAACTTGGTTATTTATAGCTAATTATTTTCCGAGATACACAATAACAGATTTGAATATCTGTGCATAAGCAGTTTGCAGATTAAAATTACTGGAATTATTAAACTTAACTTCACATTTATTATTTTGTAGGTTATTTATTTTATTTTACATTATTTTGTGTTTAATGATTTTTACGTTTGATTTATTTTACATTTCCATTGTAACTTCAAAATTTACTTGTAAGTTATGTAATTTTTGTAATTTTTTTAATTTTTGTAGATTTTTGTAGATTTTTGTAGATTTTTGTAAATTTTGTAATGTTTCTAATTTTTGTAATTTTTGTCATTTTTGAAATTTTTGTCATTTTTGTAAATTTTTGTAAATTTCTTAAATTTTTTAATTTTTGTAATTTTTGTAAATTTTTGTAAATTTCTTAAATTTTGTAATTTTTGTAATTTTTGCAAATTTTCGCAAATTTTGTCATTTTTGTAAATTTTGTAATTTTTGTAATTTTTGTAATTTTTGTAATTTTTGCAAATTTTGTAATTTTTTGTAATTTTTGCAAATTTTGTAATTTTTGCAAATTTTGTAATTTTTGTAATTTTTGTAATTTTTGTAATTTTTGCAATTTTTTATTACAAAAATTATTAAATTCAATCTTTGATGTATTTTACATTTATTATTTGTTATTTCGAAATTCATTTGTTCATTTTTGTAATTTCTTATTACCTCAGAATTATTAAATTCTATGTTTGATTTATTTTACATTTATTATTTATTTTGAAGTTTATTTGTCCATTTTTGTAATTCTTTATTGCCTTTATTATTGAATTCAATGCTTGATTAATTTTACATTTATTATTTGTAATTTATTCTTTCATATTTAGTCTCTTTTTTTTATTTCATATTTATTACATTTATTGCCTATTTCATTTGTTTCATCATGTTTATTATTTGCAATTTTATTTTGCACAATTCTACGTTTATTTATTTTATATTCATTTTATTTGGTTCTCATTTATTATTTCAATATTTGTTCTCTTATTTTTATCTTTCAATACATAAATACATTACGAAATTTCTTAAAAGTTTGTCCAATAATCAAAATCTTAGAAAATTAAACATTGCTGAAGATATTCAAATAAAAAAAATGTTTAAATAATCAATATTTTTGAAATTACAAGTTTTTAAATAATCAAGTTAAATATATTCAAACAATCAATATTTTTAATATTAAAAATAATTGAATAATAAAAATTAGTCACAATTAAATATGTTCAAACTTCTAATATTTTTAATGTTAAACATGTTTGAATAATAAAAATCAATCACAATTAAATATCCTCAAACAATCAACATTCTCTAAGTAAAAAATTAGTATATAATTAAAAAAACGTGCATCGAGTCCCTGAGATAATTAAGTAGGATAAATGTGACAGTACCAGCCAATTCAAGTTTCGTGGTTTCTTTCAAGCGTGTAGCAACAAGAGAAGAACCTCGATTCTCGAAGCTATCGAACGGATTAAGAAGTTTGAAAAAGTTTCTGCCTCGGCAGAGATGTGTGCAGCGGCTCTTTAACCGCATCCAATTTGTCACGAAAGAATTCCCCTTCCTCCTGAAACTTTTTTTTCCCTTCAAAATAGACCGCGATCGTTTTTATCGACGAATACTTCGATCCGTGCCACTCGAACCTGAATTAATTGAAATTATTAATGCCAATTTAATCACTGAATGCTTCACTGGAACGACATTTTTCTCGACGTTTCAGAACTGTATAATGAGGATGATATCTTTTATTCAATGCTTTTATCTTAATCTAGATGATAATTAGATGATTTTTCTGAAATTAGATGATTACTTGATATTTCAGGTGAAATTAGTTTGACGATTTTATTGCGAATTTATCATTGTTTGATGTTTCAGATGAAGTTAGATGATTAGATGATTTTTCATCTGTAATTAGGTAATCAGAATATTTTCATATAAGATTAGATGATCATTAAAGGATTTTTCTTTCAAAATTAAGTAACTAGATTTTCATGTGAAATTAGATCATTACTTAATATTTCATTTCAAAACGATTAGAGTATTCTAATCTAAAATTAGATAATCACTAGATGATTTGTTATCATCACTGTAATCACACAAAAGAATCGCAAAGTGTTCGTACAATTTCTTTCTTAATTTCCCCTCAATCTAATCTGAACATTTCGCTACTTTATTTAATGTGATTGCTCGATAATACTAAATTTGTGATATTAGTCACCGAATGACCCTCGCAGGTTGACGTGTTAAAGAACAATGTTTCAGTCTGAATACTGCTATGTCATACGTTCTAAAAGTGCTACGATCAATAGAATATTCAGCATTCCAAGAATAAAAACTTGAAATGATAGAGTATCAGGCAAGTTTCCGAAACCGATTTCCATTTCATTGAAACGTGTTGATTTTACGAATTCAAAATTGTTTTACAATTCACTCATTTCTAATTCCAAGTGATATTTGTACATCCCTTTGCACTACAATATTGTGTCACACACGTGACGCACACTACAGTCGGAATGTGATAAACCAGACTCGCGTTTTCACTGCATTTTTGGTTCAATTCTAATTACATGTATTATGAAGGGTTGCTGAAGGCAAAATGTACTTAACATTTTAATTTTCTCCAGTTGCCTTAACGTTGTAGCAATAATCAGCTAACAGTGAAATGACGCAACTGGAAAATTGTAGGTTAAGGGGTTAAATATTAAATTACGTGCTATTTCAACGTAATGAATAAATATACCAACGCAGTGAATGCAAACTATGCGATTTAGAAACAATATTTATTAATAAACATGATGTCATTTCAGGCGATATTTGTGCTTATTTCATAGAAATTAGTTTCTGCACATTTCACTTTTAATGTGCACTTCATTTTGTAGTTTAACGTAGCCATTTTGTAACTAGTTTCAAGTTTTATTCTGTACCATTGAGTCGTAACCAAAATAATAGGTTTACGACAAAAATGTGTAGGACCTTTTTTATAGAGCTGTTTATAAGCTACATTTTTCGTTTAATACATTTTTCTCTAGAATCAATACTTTCGTATATACAGGGTGTTATCTGTAACGCTACTCATGCTTT